ATGCCTCCTCCAAAGGATCTTGTTTCCTGCCATGTGACTAGCATGGAATAGCTAAAAAGTGAGCAAAAAGGTAACCTGAGGGAACAGGGTCCAAATGTGAGGTAAATTTTAATGGTTTATTCAAAGAAGTTTTGTGGTGCACTTTCAGTCCAAGGAAGCTGTTTCTTTATTCAGAAATCAGCATAAAAGCATCTGTGCTAGTAACACATTGTTCAGTCATTGTACTGGAAGTGTTTACAGGCCCCTAAAAGAAGTTACACAAAGTTGTTTAAAATACTTGACTTGCTTCAGTGTCTGTGCACTTGGGCAGTACTTACACCTACACGTGAACGTCTTGTAAGTGGCCGCACGTAGCAGCACCTCTACCTAGGAAGAGGTCATTTCCCACTCTCTTATTTGAAAGGCTTATTTTAATTTCTTCAGCATTTTTCTTCCTTCTGACAATTTAGTTAATTTCTAGTATTGACAGGGCAGATACTGTCAGAGGGGTGGCCTCTTCCTGTCTCAGTGTTTCTTCTCCTAGCCTTTCACTGTGGGTGTTTAGTAGGAGTATATTCTCTACAGGAAAATCATCCTCATGCTCATTGTTTACTGTCAACTTTTATTGGTCAGCTGGCAATGTGTGCACATAATACGTTGGCTGAATAGATAAAAGTTTCAGCAGGGTAGGATTAAATGGCACTGGATTTCAAATTTCAACAGTGTAAACTGTGTCATAAAATGTAAAAATGCAAATATGCTCCTGTGTGCAAGAGAGCTATTTTATCTTGAGTCATCATTGTAGGATAATTTTTTTTGGTGTGGAGCAAGACGTATTGTACTGAGGAGCTGTTATTATCTGCTTTGATATATGTGGAACGCGAGGGAGGAAATCTTCTCTCACTCACACGAAGGGCACACAGCAAGACAGGAGCTTGTCACACAGGCATCTTGATCTGATCATCACTTACACATTGGCATCTTGTCCCTCTCCCCTCCCCCCATGCCCAGTCTAGTTTGTCTTTGCCTAAATATGTGCATCAGTGAAAATATTTCTGAAATTTTAGCGTCTCCCTGAAATACAGATCTTTTCTTTCCTTCTGTTGTGTTTAAGTGATATGTGGAAGAAGTGTTTTCAGATTTCTCCCATCTGTGGACCCTGTCTCAAAATAGAGACATCCTCTTTTCAGCTTACAGATACATGACACTGCCGACCCATAGATGGGAAATAAGTGTTAGTTCAAAAGGCATACATTTTTCTATGCTTATATCAGTAGATGTTCTATCTCAGATTATAAAAATTGAACATTTTGTCTTTAACTGTCCTCTCCTTACCATTCTGGATCCTTTTTGTTTCTCTCTAGAGCCCTACTACTTTTTGGAGTTACCCTGCCTGAGTTGCCAGCACTTTCAACCCATTCCTGTTTGTGCCACACCCCTTGTCACTTGTCTCCCTGCTGCTCTAGACAGACATCCCATTGTCACAGACCTCCAGCCCTCTACAGTTCTCTAATGTTGATGGTTTCCATTTCCTTTTCTTTTCCATTACAGTAGCAATCCAAGCAGAGATAGGAAAGCAGACTAGGGATTTCTAGCAGGAACTAGCTGTTCCTGCAGGCTTAATGTTTTTTATTTGTCTTAAAGAACTTGGCAATCTATAAAACCAGGGAGCAGAACAAGCCCACATCACTAGTGAGTGCTGTGTGAGCCACCATTTGGGGACCACTGCACTGAAATGAAAATATTTTTACGTTACACGGTTCAAACATGCTCCTGAGTCTCCAAGACTATCGTTTGCCATAGCTGTTTTAGTGTTGCAGGCTTTTAGTTGCTGACATGTACTGCTACCCCTTCCCTTTGAAACCAACCAAGTGGAGAGGTAGTGGGATGATGAAAACTCTCCTTTGCTGGGGATTGTGATAAATGAGTAATTCTTCCTGCTGTTCAAAATCCTGTAGAATAGGGACTTATAATGGAATTGTTGACCTATCTTTAGCTTTGGCATTTCAAACGAGATTCTGAATGTCAAATCACTGAACACATTACAGAGAAGAAGTGCTTGGTGAGCCACTAGTGACAAGTGGTTAAAGACTGTAAAAGGGAGGAACTGAAATGAAAAGAAATGAAATGCAGTGAAAGAGCATCAGAGGTTGTTACTGGTGAAGTGAATAAAAATAATAGCAGGCATCTCAATTCATTTGGCTGGCAGCAACACAATAATGTTGCCAATTCATTTTTTGAAAACAGAACTAGGTCTGAAGTGTAGGTGGAAGTTGTAATTATTTTAATGGACAGAAGCTAGCTGTAGAACATACCTTGCCAACAAGGTTTTACAGATTACACCTTAAAAAGAAGGAAACAAAAGAGAAGGACTCCAGTTATAACACTGACTGAAAATGGCAGATTTTATTCCCTGCAGTGATAATCAGCCCAAATTTACATCTGGATTAATGGGGAGAAGGATACAGTCTCTTATATGCAAAGGGAATTCTTCTTGGTATTATGCAGTGTCACAGAATATCTGAACTCAAGCCAAATGTAGGACTGTATCTCTCCTCAGAATGAGCTAAGTAGCTGATAGGCAAGATTACCTTGGCTGAAGTGTGCATATAAGTTATTTAGAAATGTCCCACCAGATATCTTAATGTTATTTATGTAACACTTTGGAGCTGGGCTCAGCTAGTCTCAGGAGGCAGGGTCATTTCACCGAAGGTTCCAATTTTAGCCAAATATATTGTTTTTTGTCTTTTGGCTGGTTGGAGTATTTTGCAGTTTCTCAGGAAGTTACTGTGTTTTGGCATTGTGCTGTTTCAGATCCCAAGTGAGAACATTCACCTAGAAGATGGTTGACTCACATATACTGTGTGTCCAATGTATTGTTTAAGGTTGTGTCAGACACTGAAGTTGTGTGGATTCAGTTCTGACAGCATTATTTGAGTTCTATCAACTTCTGTATGATCTGCACCATTACTGAATTGCAGATTTATTTATTGGCTTGATTTTTAACAGATTAACTGAAGTTTATACAGGGTTTTGTGGACAAAATTTTGTAGTGTACAGATGTAACTCCCACAGAGGCACTGTTGGAAACCTCATTTATATCTATCCACTGCATTTTATACACACATGTGCACACGGACACACACATGCACGCCATCAAATAAAACTTGATGTTATATTATACCAACCCACATATTTTCCACAGGCTGTATATGAAAATCAGTTTGACATCATTTAGGCATGACATCATTGTGAAAGACTTAAGGGATGAAGTGAGTGGGAAGAACATCTCTCTTTGCTTGTTCCATATACAGCAGCAGTGAGAACAAGCAGGTTGATATTGTATTCCCTCCAAGTGTGGTGAAATTGCAATCCTTTATCTATGTAGGTAACAACGTGTTTGAGAAATGAGAAACTGCACATCTTTTGCAACAGTTTCGTGTGTTTTTTGGATGGAAGCATTATACTGCATTGGCCTGTTTTTCTTTGTTCTGATTGCTGTTGGGAGGGGGGAGCAATATCTGAAATTCAGGATCATATGCTCACCAGCTGTGAGTCCTTAAATAGAACAGCAATGAACTAGCATTATGGCTGTGGAGAGCTGTATGGTGGGGCTTTTTGGGGAACACACCCTGGCAGAGCTGTGCTGTGGGAGTTGAGAAACACTGCAGTATTGTTCCCATCCGTCATCACACAGCCGCGTTTTTACAGCAGTCCAAAGTGGGCTTTGTACCCCAGCTTTCTGCAGTCCATACTGCTTCCATTCTTCTGGATGGGGGCTTGCTGCTAAACGTGTGAGGAGAAGGAAAGTTCTTGTCCCTTTCAGTGCTGGCCGAGACAGCTTCCTCACCAAGCTTCCCTCACCTTCTTAAAAAAAAAAAAAAAAATTAAAAAAAAAAATTAAAAAAAAAAAAAAAGGAAGACCAGCTTTCCCGAAATAGCCAACTCAGCTGCAGACAGGCAGGCGGGCAGCCAGGACTGAAGTAAAAGCAGCCTGAGTAACACTGGCAACAGCCCAGGCTGCCTCGGTTGGACTGCTCTCCCCTAAAATGTACATGCATAGCCATGGATCTTTAAGGGCCGAAGTCTGCCAATACCCATTAAGTACAAAGTCCAAGAGAAGATAACAATAGACTTTCAGCATTTTTGCTCAGGTTTCATTCCCAGCAGGAGAGCTAGGTTCTCTTTCCTTTGTAAGCGAAAACTGAGATGGGCTCTTTTGTGTCCCAAGATTTGAAGCCTGTGTAGTCTTTAAAAGCTGTCCTCCCTCCAGCAACAGCTGTTTTACATTTAATCCAGAAAAGCTGTACCATTACTGGCTTTGGGTGCTGAGGAAGCTTGCAACATGACTTCAGTACAGAATTAAGTATTTCTCACATTGTCTATCCCCATGTTTTTTATGTGACTATCTACTTCAGAGAAGTACCTTTAGACTCAGTGAAGGAAGATTCATTGTGTTTCAAGATTCTCTAGTGAAGAACTAAGCAGGAAATAAAGTTTGTTTCAGTCTGAAAGGGTTTCTGTATAATATAGGTACTGGGTGTTTTAAGCTTCACTGCAGATAGAAGTGGATGAAAACAAAAGCAACAACCAGTTTGCACTTTTGATAAATATGTCACAGAATGTAATGATGGGAAATTGTTAGAGAACTGTGGTACAATAGAAATTAAAGAACTATAATGCAATATTTCATGAGAGAGCAGGATTTTGAGAAATCTTCGTAGACCTGCCAATTCTCCTTCTCTTCCAAGGCTGTGCTTGGAATTTGCGGGAAGATTGACAGTTATTTGAGGAACTTTAAAAATCAGCTTTTTTTCAGAAATAGAAGCAAAAGAAAGAGAAAAATCAAGCCTATCCTGGTAGGCTTCCGTGTTTTCACATGCATAATATAGTTTAGGACAGCATCCTGACTCTCATGACATGTAGCGGGTGGAATTTTTTTTCTTCCTACAAAAATGTTGAACAGCAATGCAATTTGATACAGAAAGTGATTTATTCCCCTGCTGATAACTGAGTTCATCTAGCATTCCAGACAAGCAGAGTTAATGGATGACTTACCCCTCACCCAGCAGCTGATTACAGGACCTCAGGAGACAGCAGGCAGCTTTGAGTGAGGTTATAGAAACAACACGGCATTTTATTTTCCTTTTAGTGTTATTGCGGCTGTATTCAGCCCTGGAATGCAATGGCTGTATCAGGCGCAGCCCCCTGCAGCACTGGCATGTGTGTAGGTCAGTAAGCAGCACCGAGCCACCCTTGCTCTAAGACATTAGTTCTCCCTCTCTGTGATCTCTGTGTAAACATTTTTTGGGCAGACTAATGGCCAGTCATTTGTTTGATGCCTGGAGATAGGAGAAGTTGTGCCAAGTATGATGATGACTTTTTATTAAAAATCCTGCTAATTTATGGGTTGGTTTTAAACCCCTCTTGCCCTGAAGGCAAGTCCATGTAGGGAGGAATACAATTTAACATGAACTGAAACATGCTTCTGCTGAACATCTGCCAGTGGAATTTTGTGCAGGTTGATTCCCACAAATATCCATTAAAAAAAACCTGAGATCATAACTGTCATTGCAGTCAGCAGAGATAAACGGAGTCTGGGCTGATTCTTTCTTAACAGATGATGCTTCTTCACAAAGAAAATGAAGACTCAGTGTCTGAGCCACACAGAGAAGCTTAACTGGCTATTTTTTTTTAAATAGACTTTTTTCAGAAGGCACCATTCCAGAAAAAGTAATTTGATTACTTGTTACTAAGTATCTGGTTTTGCAGCGAAGTTGTCAAATTGTTTAATTTTCTGATGCAGCTTAGAGAATTAATTTCTTTTCTGAATTTGTCACACCCCTCTGCACGTTACAGCATCCTGACCATGCTGCATGTGTCTGTTCCCTAAACATACAACTAAGACTTAGATGTGTTGATGAAGTACTGGGAGAATTTTTGATGTAATAACACAGATTTTGTTCCAAGTGGTTTTATTAATACTGTTCTTTCTCTTTCCAGTACTACCAGCTCAACTGCAAGCAGTTGTGATACAGAATTTACAAAAGAGGATGAGCAGCGGCTGAAGGATTACATCCAGCAGTTGAAAAATGACAGGGCAGCAGTGAAGCTGACAATGCTGGAGCTGGAAAGCATCCACATTGATCCCCTTAGTTATGACGTTAAACCTCGTGGAGACAGCCAGAGGCTAGACCTAGAAAATGCGGTCTTGATGCAGGAACTTATGGCAATGAAGGTATTTTACTTCCATCCAACAGGCTAACTGCACTGCTGACAATGCCCTTGTGCTACAAAACATGCTCAGTGACACACAGGGGAGGCTTTGATAGTGATCCGTGGGTAACAAAGGGTAACTCTGTTCAAACAAATATTCAAGGCTGAAAATCCAGTAGTCATAAAGTGGCAGAAGGCAGTGCATTAACAGTGAAAAGCTATGTGTGTTTTGAATTAGGCGAGGACTTCATCCACGGCTCTAAACTCGGAATGCTTTCCTTAACAAACCAGATGCTTTCTCTAAGGGATATGGCAGCTGAAATGCTTGAAGGTGACCAAAAGCATGATACAGCACTTCCCAAGAGGCAGTTCGCTATTTTACTTACAAGCTTGCAAATGCGCATTTGTGAACTGAAACAGAACAAATTCACCTCCTTTTAATATAGCCATGGGGGAAGGAAACAGAAGCTATCATCCCTAATGCTCTCCAGTGGTCAGTCACAAGTCCAGAGCTATTCGAGGCACTGCGTTGCAGTTTCTGGCTCAGTTCAGAGCCCAGGCAAAGAGGACGGTTTGTAATGATTTGCAGTAATGGAGAAAACTCTTTTCCCTCAGGTCTGGTCTAGTATGCCCAGTTCTAAAGATGTGATCTAGAAAAACTGACCTTTACTAACCAGATATAAAGCTTATATAATTTTAAATCTGGCTTCGGTATTGACTTTGAGGGAGGTGAACTAAAACACGGGAATGTATTAAAGGCAGTACAGGTGCTTGTATGCATTTAGAAATTGTTAAGTTTAAATAATTTTCATTTCTGCATGTTGGTAAGTCCTATTTTATTCAGCTGATGACAGATGTGTCATATTATGGTATCATGTGGGACAGCAGGTCCTCATAGTTTCATAAGATTCTGAAGTTGATGATTTTTTTTCAGATGTGCTACTGCTGGTTAACTGGTAGCTTAGTAATGATAACTGTCTACTTGATGGTGCAGCCTTTCCATGATGACAAATATAATTTTGCAAAAAAAGCATTCAGTGTTTGCAGTTTGGGGGGGGGGGGAAAAAAAAAGATTGTTTGCTACAGGCCAGAAGATTTAAAGTGATGTTCATTGTTTTAATATACTGCGGCCAGCAGTGATATATTCACCATAATTAAAGCATGCAAGATATACTCAAAGACATTTGTAGATAATTAGGGGTGTGTTTCAGATATCACATTTCCTTCTCTTTGGCATCCAAATCTTCCCTGAAATCTCTTGTACATCAGTCTTATCTCTAAACTGATAGGTAAAGGCAAACTGTAGAGCTATCCCTTGTGATTAGTGCCCTTGTATTCCTTGACCTGTCAGGGACACCAACAATTACATGTCATAATTTTTGGCACAGTTTTGAGGGCTGCTAGTCCTTTTGTAAACAATCATATAACTCAGTTTTGACATATGGCGTCCAGTCATAACCTTTGGCTGGACCTAGCACTTGGGTTTTTCACTGCAGGAATCAAGAAAAAGAAGAAAAAAAAAAATCTTTCTTCTTGGTTGGTTTGTGTACAGTGCATACTGGAATAGACACACATTTTACATGGGTGGCTGAAATCACCTTCAGTCCTTCCTGGTACAAAGAAACCGACAGTATTATTATTTGTTATAATTTGTTATACTTTGCTAGAATTCACAACTGCAGGAAATCTCTAGGTTTCTGAAAGTGATATGGTGAAAATTCAAGTTTTTCAAAGCTTCGAATGGATTTGTTGGTAAGTGTTCTCCAACTACTGAAATTGGAAAGTCCTGACTTTCTTTTATGCATAAGCATTACAAGAGGCACAGCTACACTCCATGTGCTTGGGTCCCAGGAGAATGTACTACCTTAACAGCATCCATGGTTGTTGCTGAGGTCTGCATCACACATTGCTCATATATTCAGCAAGCCATAACATAGCTGAACCTAAGGGCAAGGCTCTTGGCTTTGTGACTATATTGTTTATATCTGTTATTTGAAACGTGTACCTTATGCAGAATAATGTATGCATCTGCCCTCTTCTGAGACAACTGGAGATTTTGAATTTCCTTGTGGTATTTTATTTAACTTGAAGCAGATGGACTCATCTGTTCTGCAGAGGACTTCATTATGTAGCAGTCCTTTATTTGCTCCCTCCCTTCCACATTCTTAACAAGGATGATACAGGTTGATTGAGCTACTCAAGCATTTCCTGCATTGCTGGGTCTGATGGCCTGCTGCAGCCTTCCTGAAACTTGTATCTGTATTGGAATCTTTGCTGCATCTTTTGGCACCTTGTGACCCCCAGTAGAAACTGATCATGACGTCAGTCATATTGATTCTTGAATCTGTGTGTCATGCTGAAATGTCTTTATACCATTCGTTCTTCATTACTGGTGAAAATTATCCATAAAAGATGGTTTGGGGATTGTTTCTCTGTAACTTTTTTTTTTTATTTTATTTTTTTACTCATCCAGACTGTAAGACATTGTGGTCTGCCAGTACTTCTGTAAAATTCAGTTCTTTGCCTCAAGCAATAATTAACCATGTTTCCAAATGTATTCTTGTTTGTCATCATTCAGCAGTCCTACTTTGAGGTCAGTTGTTGTCATGCCCCAGTTAGCAACGAGATTACTTCTGATGGGTGTAAATAATTCTTGGTTTACAGCCTTCCTGCATTTCAAAGGACTTAATCTAGATAAGAAGTCTCAGCTTTCTACACTGATATTTTTCCTGTTTTGTGTACAGGTGGTGATAATATTGCTCACAAGGTGTTTTGAGAATACAATCTCTTTGCAGAAAATTTTGTCCACCTTTGTTAGAGCAGTTCATGCTCTTATAGATGCATATAGTGAAGCACAGTTGACTAGAGCATGGCGTTTATCTGCTGATACTTGTTTTACTTCTGAAGGCTGGTATATTCCACCATGTATACTGTGGTCTTTCTGGAGTCCCATTTGCATGACTTCTATGACTTTTGCCACATACGCGTCCTTGCTGTTCTACCCTTCTGATGTGACCACATCCAACACAAATTTTAATTTTAGGGTGCTGTGGTGTTCCTGATTATAGTGAGTCAGGAATGATTAACTGTCATTCAAGTTTTGAACCAAATTCAAAACTGCAGTATGACTGCAAGTACAAAATGTTCCTCAATATTCAATTAATTAGTTGTGAAATGACTGCTAGATTTGGTGCTCAAAGCATGTGAATTTACCTGAGCTGTATAAATCTTCTGCAGTCAACTGGAAGGGTGACCGCTTGCTGCCTCCTCCTTCAGGGTTTCATTTTGTAAATGGCACTTGTGCTTTAGGCCCACACTCTGAGGAAGGAGATATGTTAAACTGCAAAATGCTTCACCAGGCTCCTAGAAGTAAGAAAAAAAAAAAAAAAAAAAGTAAATTTCAAAAGGCAATATTGTCATAGAAGTAAAATTTAGACGCTGTCTTTAGAAAACATATTTTCATGGAAAAAGAGTGCTGCACATGTAAAGACTAATTAACTTTCTAAGTAAACCTGAGCCACTTAAATTTTCCCACGTGAAATATTACTGTTGCCACTCTGTCTCACAGATTGTATGTGTCCATACCAGAATCCTCAGCTGTGGTTCTGATTTTCAACTTCAGCCTTTCCACTCCTTCCCGATCCTTCCCCAGGAGCCTTTGTAAGGCACTGGCTGGCAGTTCTTCCACTTCCCATCACTTTGTCTTTGCTTGTCTACTTCAAAGTCACATTGTCTTGACATGAGAAAACTAGCGTATGGCAAGTTCTTCTGGAGTCTGTGGTATGTCTTCTGGGACAGAATACAAACTTTGAATTCATATGTGATCTAAGCTTATTGTCTTCCTAAACAAAGAAGTTTTGTTTAGGAACTGATCCTCGGGTTTATTTTGAGCTAGGAGTGTAGTGCAAACGTCCAGTCTCTAAGTTAAAACTTCTAAGTGATGGGAGAAATCAGTTCCACAGATTCATTCTTGCAGTGGTTACATTCACTGTGTTCTTTTAGGAAATAAATGTCCCTTATTTCTAGGCTGAATTTGCCTAGCTTCAGCTTCCAGCCAGAGAAGATCTTGTCATGACCCTCTCACACAGACAGCCCTCTGTCAAGAGTATCTTCTATTCACACAAGTGCCAAAACACTTTGGTCAAATTACTTCTCAGCCTTCACTCAGCAGGCTAAGTAGATTAATGGTTTTAGAAAGAGAGGCTTAAGAAGCTAAACGCATACACTTAAGTATACTAGACAATCCAGTTCAACTCCTATAACTAAATTTCCCCATCATTATTTATCAGTATTATTTGCATTTCTACTGTTGACAGAGGGTGGTAAGCTTGCCTAAACTAAATTTCTGTAAAACACATTGAATGAAAATGATGGTGCTTCTAACCTTCAGTTCACAAAGAAGTAGATGAGTAAATGAATGATTTTAAAGCTGATACAAACCTTTCCAAGCCTGAGGGGCTTTAGGATATGGATTTTATTTTTGTATGGTTGGTGATTCTGAACAAGCAAATGATTACCTGTGATTACAATATGCTGTTTGTAACTGTACTAAACTCATGTGCACTGCTTAGACTTAATCCAGTGTTTTGGCAGTTTTTTGTTTGTTTGATGGTGGTTTTTTAATATGTAATGTAAATTATGCTTTAGGGCTGTTTCCCTAAATGTTTTGTGCATACTGAGTTTTCTTACATTCAGAAAATAACCTAGACTTTTTGTGAAAGAATCTTTTCTGAAGTGTTGATAAACACAAAGAGCCATCTAGTTGAGGATGCCCACGCTTTGAATGGGGTTGCTGTGACCCAAGTGCAGGACTTGGCAGCTGGCCTTGTTAAACCTCATAAATAGACCTTGGCCCATCGATTCAGCCTGTCCAGATCCCTCTGCAGAGCCTCCCAACCCTAGAGCAGATCAACAATCCCACTCAATTTGATGTCAGCCGCAAATCACTGAGGGTGTCCTCGATCCCCTCATCCAGATCATTACACTCAAGTAACAGGAGTAGATGAAAACCTTGTTTAACTTCATCTTTCTTTAGGTATGTAGTCCCATGGAGCAGCATGGTAATAAAGTTTCTTTGACAGGAGGAGATGGCAGAGCTCAAGGCACAGCTTTACCTGCTAGAGAAGGAGAAGAAGGCATTAGAATTGAAACTGAGTACACGAGAGGCCCAGGAGCAGGCTTACCTCGTCCATATCGAGCATTTGAAGTCTGAAGTGGAAGAGCAAAAAGAGCAAAGAATGAGGTCTCTCAGCTCAACCAGCAGTGGAAGCAAAGACAAGCTGGGCAAGGTCAGGAATCAAACATTTCCAAAGTCAGTGTAAACACAATTTATTGTGCTTGTCCCTATATTAGTCTTTAGTGTGTTAATCATTCATTTTTGTCTGTGTGTACTTTTCTTTCCTCTCCTCTCCAGTTGTTCAGGGGTTCTTTCTATGCTGTGACTTAGGAGGACTTTGCAATATCACTGTTAAGCCTGGGCTAAAATAAGTTTGTAATTTTGGGAAGGAGTACAACAAAGACATTCTTGCCAAACAGACATGCTACTGTGGTTGAACCTACTGTGTCTTGCCTGTTGTTGCTCACTGGAAACAGTGGAAGAGAATCCAAGCAAAATGCCATCCTCCCTCTTCTCCAAACACAAAATGGGAAAAAACAGAGCTCATTTCTGTGAAGCAGTTAGATAATTGTAATCACAGTCTTTTTTTCCAGGTCAGACTGCTTGTAAAGATTTGGGAATTAATACTTTTTCCCCAACTTAGTGTAATGCAAAATAAACAGATTTCTGCATTTACATTAATAATTTGCATGAAGAAATAGGGGTACCTGTAAAAATCTCAGTTCTGTTATTTTAGTGCTGCGTCCCTGGAAAACCTCATTAATATGCTTGAAAAACAAAATGCGGAGCCAGTGATAACTCTGTCTTTCTAGTTTCTGACTAAGCATGACCTGAGTTGCTCAATCCAGTGCTGCTTTGTTTCAAGTGTGGTGTTAACAGGAATGTAAGGCAGTTATGCATACTCCAGCAGATTCTGCAGATCACTGGGCTGTCATGTCTAAGAAGCATTTATAAAGATTTGTGAAATGCTAATATGTTGGTTCGTTTCTTGGTGTGTTGATAATGCTGCTATGTTGTTGTGTCCTTGTGATGTTTATTTCACCTCCATTTTAAAAGCAGCTGTGAAATAAGAGGTTTTGGAGCTATCCCGTTGAGATGTTAAGGAATTTCAAATTAGATTAATTTCTTCATTTTTCTTCATTTCCCAGGAATGCAGTGATGGCACTGCAACACCATTAACACTAGCTGAGCTGAGACCCTACAACGAGACTGAACTGACTGCTGAGCTGGCGAACGCACTCAGGCGGTAAGGGGCTTCCTTCACCAGAGACATGACTTGCTCTGGACCACCAGGGCAAGATTTAGTTCTGAGCCTTCACTTCTGCCCTCAAGTGACTTCTAAGAGTGATCACAGATTTTCCTGTGAAAAGGAAAAGGATTGAAGTTCGAACCTTGGCCTTTTGCTGACAAAGGTCCTCACGTGGTGCTCGGCTCCATTCTCCTTAAGCTTCTCTAAAACTGAGATGAGCTATAGTCCTAAGAAACCCTTGTAATGTCAGGAATGTCCCTATTGAGACAAGAACATGGGACACAGAACAGTGACAGGACTTGCTTGAGGGCATGCAGGCAACCTTTAGTGAAGACAAGATCTGAAGCGTGATCTTTGATGTCACAGGATAGAACTCGGGAAGGAGTTAGGGGAATGGGAAGGGCAGTCATTTTGATGACTCAGATGCGGCATTTGCCTCCTGAGTATGTGAGTGGAGCCACAGCTCAATTACAGACTGGCTTTATCAACAGCCAGGTTTTAAGCCGAAGCTTTCAATACAGTTACACATTAACTAGGTGCTTGTTTGTGCAGCAGTTTTTGCTGCACCAGCAATGTGGTAAACTTCCATGACAAAGATACCCACTGCTTCAGTAGTTGTTTCAGGTATTTTTCCATGTTTTCTAACACATGGCTATATTATATCTAATCTGGTTATTGTACCTGTCCAAAATGCTTCTAAGAATTTTGGCTTGGAACAGTATATTTTGCTTTTTTGATGTCAGCACCCTCTTTAATGGTGGAATGTCCTCTCAGGCAGCTGTGGTTCATTGTTGAAGTGGGTTTTTTTTGTAGGTGCAGCTTGTAGTGTGCCTAGGGACACTTAAACCTGGAAGGCATTATGTAAATATGCAAGGTCGTTACCACTGCAGAATCAATACATCTCATACCATTTGCTTAATAGTCTGGCGGTTGCTGAGTATTTAGTTTGCTTGATGCAGGAAACAACGTTATGCGGTTAAAATAACCAGAGCTGTCGTTCCAGTGTGGGTGGATAAAAACCATCAACAGTCATTTGCATAAGTATTGCATAGAGCTGTTGGCCTCCCCCGTACCCGTCACACTCCAGTCCCATGGGGTCCGACAACGTTTGCTGTCTTCACTCGGGCTGCATCTTTTTCCTGGTCTTGTTATTTGCTCCTGGATTTTGAGAAGATGCCAGGGATCTTAGTTAGCAGAGGCTTGAGTATAGTCATGAAGCGTGGTTTGCTGACAACACAGAGAAAAAAACTTTGCTTTATCTACTAGGCCCTAAGTTGATTAGCATGGATTTCTAGCCAGGGGCCTAGCAAGCACAGTTTGTCAGGCAGAAATGGGGAAGAAAAATAATCGGATTAAACCATACATAAATTTTGGAGTGAAGACTCTCTGTGTAATGGAAATATGACTGTACTAAATGCGATTGCTACTGGCAGTGGGGCTCAAGCACACTTCCTGTGAGCTGTGTGGACAGGGTATTTTTCTCCCTAATCGGTCTGCTAGCCAAATCAGACTGAATGCTTAGTATCCTTATCCTGAAGTCTTCTCTCTGAAAGTCAGTAGAAAGTCTCTCTAGCACATGGAGAACACTTACTGCAACCTGCTGAGCTACAGCTATGCTGAAAAATACCAGGAGTTCCTACCTGCCAGCCTACATAAACAGAGTCTCAGATCACAATGCGATCTATAACGTCGTGGATCCACAAAAGAGTTTTAAAAATAATCAAAGTGCATTTGACTCTCTGGAAGTGCTGCAACAACACAGAATGGTCTGAAGTGACTGTGATATGTTTAAGGGCAAAGTGGTTTTAACTGTTGGCACTCAGCGTGTGCCAGTGCCTCAAAACTTCCTGCTCGTGTGGGAAAACAAGTGCTGACATTGTGTGTGAACCGGGAGAGATCCTGGTGGATCTTCACAGAACACTTCTCAGCCACCGAAGAAGTAGGGCCAGAACTAAAAATAAAAAATATTTCACCCAGTAACTGTTTGCTGGAGGGGCTGGAGGGAGGGGTGAAGCAAGTGAATATTGCACACTGAATTTGTGGTCTAGAGACAATATTTAAATGCCAGTGTTTGGGAGTGTTTCGGTGCTGGTTGCAGTTACTGCATGCATGCAGCAGTTGGACCTGGCTGTTGGTATGCCAGGCAGTAGATGCTGGTGCAGGCAACAGCAGCTGCAAGGATAGGGGCAAAAAATTAATTTGCTTTTAAGTCTTTCTCTTTGCCAGAGAACGTGGTATCAATCAGGAGCCCTGCTTGCTGCCCCCTCCCCGTCCTGCCTTCACAGAAATGAAAGCCCTGGCAGCACCCCACTCTGTTGCTTTTCCATTCTGTCCTTCCGCTGCTGCAGAACAGTCAGGTTCTCCTCAGTTAACTGAAATAGAGTGAAATCTAAACAAAACAGCAGGAGGCAGTTACAGTTTGGATTATGGTGTGGTTTGGAAGAACTTATTTGTTCATAGTCTGCAAATGGCTTTGCAGGAGAACAGTCTCATCCACAGAGACAGCCTATCTTGTCTCTGCAGATGTGGATTTTCTCATAAATCTGGAATCCAGCAGCATGTTGGGGAGCTCCCCACATTGTCACTGGTAGTGCCTATCAGCAGAAACTCAAGGCAGGAGCAATTCTTCGTTTATTGTTTCATAACATATTTGTTCTAGTAGGACTCAATGTTTCCTGTAGCAATGTCCAGCATTAAAACCCATCTTACGGGCTTCCCACATAAATTCCTTTTCTTTTCCATGACCGCTGTGCTAACTAGTAGAAGTGTAAATTATGTGCAAATTCCACATTGCAGAAGTTACATCTAGGTTACCCAGTTTCTAGTGTTGCAGGCTAAGGCCACTAGTGTAGAGACACCTCCTGTTCCAGCTGTGCTGGAAAGCATAGATACTTTCTTAAACAGAGTCCTTAGCATTTTTGTTTTCCCCTCTCTCCTTTCTTGATGGAAAGATGGAGCATTTGAATGGACGTGGAGCATCTTGAGGTTTTTTCTAGAGTTTGACACATCCATAAATGAACTTGTTGACAGGAAATATTCTATTCTTGTGAGGGCAAAAATGTATTCTCAGACCTGGCACTGGCACCTCTGATTGTGACAGAGGCCAGTTTTATGGGAGAGGATCTGGCTGAGTACCGCAGAAACCAGGCACATTACACAGTCTCTGAGGAAGACCTTAAAATCACATCTGCCTTTTTGGTGTGTTCTACTCTGCTGCAGCAGGGTTAGGGAACATTGTAGATGACTTATATGAGTTTGTAACTTAGTAGTATAACCACATCTCCAGGCATTAAAGATGGTAGGAAGGAGGCAGTAGGAACTCCAGAGAGCAAAATACTCTTGCTTCAGCAGGGTGATAGTGATACAACTGATCTGTTGCTTTTTTCTGCTAGGTTCTTTCATTCTGTGAAAAACAGCTAAGCTAGCAAGAGTGAAATTTCTGCATCTCCCTAGGCCTTATTAGAAATTTTTTGTTTGTTGAGGTCCTCCTGCAGTCTGTCATTTCATTTCCAGTTGCTGATGTCTTTTCTGTCTGTATAGGATTGTATTTTGTCAATGCACTTAGAAAATTGTTTATAAGCGTTAAAATATTTGGGCAGGACAGATCTGACAGGACTAGGTAAGGGCCATGGCAGGCAAAACAGTGTTACTGGACTGTTCATACCACAGCTAGGTCATCAGCTGGCACAAAATCATGATCTCTGATGGCTGTACAGAGTTACATGAATTTTGTCAGTCTAAACATGTTTCAATCTCTCCCTCACAAAAGGGTGACTTTCCATCTGGCAACAAAACAAAGCAGCTATATATTTACCATGTCTGATGACTTTTGAACTGAGAGATAACCTAGTAGGTGATACTACTAGTCGGGAAGTCACCATGGAGAGGGAAAAAAGTGCTAACTCATGAGATTGACAGACAGTTCTTTTTATCTTAACAAGAGGACATTTTGCACAGAGCTATGATCCTGCCTCTGTTGAAGTGGAAACTGATGGTATTCCTAGCAGGACATAGAAAATTCACCCTATTGCAATAGCTTCTATGTGTCAATTGTGTTCTTTGCAGTCAGGTTCTTATGTCTGTCCAAAGAATGCAACTATGTGCTGTGCCAAATGTCATGTTTTGACAGTGCAACTGTTTCAACAGAAACCTGTGCCAAGGCATGGCAGATAACTGTAATTTTTCTTTTTCTCTATTTTTGAAACATACTATGTATTTCTCCTTACCACTGCGTGGTTATCTGAACTACTGAGCTGCTGTGCACTTGGGTATAATAGTCATAGGGAGCTCCAAGTCTGGAGAGCTTCTAGGCTGGACTGGCAAAGCTGGGTGGGAGGTTTGAGCACTGAGTGTGGCAGGTACACTGTTGCCTCCTTGCAGGCTTGTTCTTCCTTTTTGCTGCCAGTCTTTTATTTCCAGAACCACACCTGGCCTGTGTCCCCACTGCTGGTGATGTAACCCATGCCTGTGGTACCATCTGGGCTTTGAGATGTTTTCAGATGCTCTAAGTGTCTGAAAATCATCAGAAAAACAGCATGGTGTCTTAACACCGGCAAAGGAATTTTAAGGCAATCTCCATCTCCTCTGTGATCAGAAAGAGTTGCCTTAACAAGGACAGCAGGCAGGACTGGTGTTCTTAAGCCCACTTATGCCTGAGAGGGTGAGACGGGAAGACATGGCATTTAAAGAGGGCTGTTTTAAGACTTGGCATTTGCTAGTCTTGTTTTGTTGCCTCTTTCAAAAGTTCTGTTATATGCTAGTTGTTTTCCTTAGCAAACCAACCCAGACCAAAGATGCTGGCATGCATTCAAATTGGCTTGGGGATTCTGCATGCCAGGATGACATAAGATATTTAAATGGCTGATGCAAAGAGAATTTATCTGCATTCCTTTTAAATGTGCAGCTGTTATCTCCTGAGAGGAGTCAAATGCCTAGAAAAAACAATCGTGTCACCCTGTTCATCTGGAACTGGAAAAGGCAGAGAGGGGAGTGAGGGA